TCCGGTGCCTAGGGCGGAGGTCGTGGACAGGGTCCACGATGTCCGCACTAGACCAGGCGGGTGCCCGCCTCTTGCGGTCCCGGGCAAGCTCCCGAGAGCCGCCAGCCTGGTCCCGGGAAGAGGGGGAGGGCTGGGGGGCATCAGGTGGCTGGCTCAAGCCGTGCCAGGTGCAGGGTCTGCTGGCTGGGTGCTGGCAGGCTTGCACCTGGCATGGGCATCGTAGCCAGCCCGTGCCCCTTTAAGGGGTCCGGGGCCGGGAGGGGGGCAATAGAGTTTCCCTGGTGTTGGCCAAAGTGGCCACCAGGGAAAGCTGGGGAGGGCTAGCCTCCCACTAGTTCAAATTAAGGGGCTACACACCCCTTAATTCGAACTAGTAATTCCAAACTAGGCTTAGTCCTCGTACAATGAGGTTTACCTAGTTCGAACTAAGCGCTCCGAATTAAGTTCGAACTAGCGGAGCGCTAGTGTAGCGCCTATCAAAGTTAATTCGAACTAACGTCCGTTAGTTCGAATTTACTTTGTAGTGTAGACATACCCTGAGAATTTGAGAACTTCGTCTCCTATCCATGTGGCTATATAACTATTACTAATCTCAGTGTGAAATATATCCATGAGTTTATGCGCCTTAGAGTTGATGGGTTTTTTTAAAGTTTTGATTCTGTAGCTCATATTCATGTGAAATTGCAACAGAATCTGGTCCTTAATATGTAGTAATTTTTTATCAGGACACAGAAAAGTTGAATATGAAGTCTAATTATTCCCTCTCTTAAGGTACATCTACACTGCACTGTTATTTCGAGATAACTAGAGTTATTTCAGAATAACAATGCAAGTGCCTACACAGCCATTCCATTATTTCGAAATAATTTCAAAATAACGGACAGCTTATTCCAAAATCTGTAAACCTCATTCTCTGAGGAATAATGCCTATTCCAAATTAGCTATTTCAAAATAAGGTGTAAACACTCCACCACTGCTATTTCAAAATAGCCCTTCACTAGGGCCATTCTAAGTTATTCCTCCCCAGTATCTCCTGGGGCTCTAAATAGAGATTACATTAGAGGAGCCTGCCTCAGACTAAGTTTGAGGCTTCCCTGTAGTGTAGATATGCTATTTCAAAATAAGCTATTTTGGAATAACTATTCTGGAATAAACAACAAATGGTCTGGTAGCACTTTATAGACTAACAAAACATATAGATGGTATCATGAGCTTTCGTGGGCACAGCCCATTTCTTCAGATGACCGGAGTTATGAGTAGGGGATATGAAATAGCTTAATTTGAAGTAAGCTTGCAGTGTAGACGTACCGTTAGGAATCCAAATGGATAGTGTGCTATTGGAGATTATACTATCTCTTCCCATATTTTGTAGTACATTACATTCTGTGCAGCAGCATTGTTATTTTTTGTTATGGTTTTCATGAAAGCAATTAGGACCGAATACACTCTTCATGCAAATAGAAGAAAACATAACATGCACTAATTTTTGTTCAACATAAACTAGAAATATTTGTAGTTCCAATGAGTCTAATGAAGATTCTATTATATTTTTTCCAAATGTCTATATTAATGTGTTCCATAAAACCCACTTACTACTGGAGTTTACTAAAATTAATTTCAAATAATAATTCAACATATTTGGCTTGCTTTGTTTTGTCCTGCAGTGATTATAATTTAGATTGTATGCCACCTCATGGTTACATTCATGTACTTTCCCTGACTGACAACATAGCAGAGTTCAAAAATGCAGTGAATAAACAAAAGATCTCTGGGAATATCGATACCCCTGAAGGGGGGTTTGATGCTATGCTTCAGGCAGCTGTGTGCCAGGTAAGGTGATTTCTGTACAAACAACTGAATGGCAATTCAGCAACAGATCTATATTTATCATTGTTTCTATTCTTGATTATATTGAAACCTTTATAATATCTTAATTATGCTCCTATTTAACTTTATGCTTGATAGTGGCATGGCATTTCTCTCCACCCCCATTCCAATCTCCAAATCATCATCAAGGATCTCCTTGAAGCTCACTGCTCTTTTATTGGAGGAGGACTGAATAGGGGAATCATTTTCAGTGCTGGTAATTGATGTCGCTCTTGTATGAAAATACATGATCAGATACAAGATTGCTGATTTCGGTAACAAGTTTTACTGTATGTTATTCCTGTTATCCCAGCAGAGCCAACATTGCAATGGAAGACTGATTGGGAGTAAGTTTTCCCGCATCAACAGAATTGTTTACTAAGCTCCAATCAGTTGCACTTACACAAGTTATTAAAGGTGTAATTTAAGGTCAGGAGCTGAACGAGTTTAACTGAGGATCAGATTTGGTTTGAAAAACTTGATTATTGGTAATGGAAAATTCCCACCTTGATTCTCCTATCCTAGGTTTGGTTTTCAGGATTGGCAGTTAGAAAAAGCTTAACTCCTTATAAACTGAACATATTTTATATTTGTAAATCATTGTGACACAATAATGATAAAACCCCATATAACAATTTTAGGCTCTTTAATGAGCAGACCTATTCTTCAGCCTACCAAAAAGAAAGGTTCCACTGAGCAGTACAAAGTCCTTCCTCTATCTTCTAAGGGTTGTGAATGTGGATTGAACTTTCTAAAATCCTTGATTTTAGAAAATATTTGACTACTACATTTGTGTTGCTGTGTATGATTTTAGCATGCATTTCAGTATCGGTTCAATCTTGTAAATAATTTGTACTTAAAAAAAAAACCTTTACTACAGTACATGGTTACAGAAACATCTCTGCACACCTCAAAGTAGAAAAGAATGAGGAAAGACCTACATCATATTTAAAGATGAGTGTCCATCCAATCCTCTTGCTTTTTGCTACGTCAAGCAATACAATGCCTGTCCAGTTTAGTAGGCAGGACTTCTGGACAATGGTGCTGTTCATGTCTAGAGAGTCAGGACGGGCTTCTTTTCCATGGTGGTTCTTTCTTACCCATTTATATATTTTATTTTAGGACAGAGAAATGAATTGGGGAAACAATCCATAAAAAGCAGCCCACCAAAAACAAATTTAACTGTGGGCCTTTTTATATTTAAGAGATGAAGAGTATAAAGCAGGTAGATGAAAAACACAAAACATAGATATCCTGTTCACAGCTGCTACACAAATTACTCTGAAACACCGAAAGGATTTCTCGCATTTATATGTTGATCATTGGATACATTCCATACTTATGACATTCAAGTTTGAAAGGGATTATAGGCTTCCAAACATAATAGAATGGAAACATTCATGACTATAGACAGTCTTTCCTGTTAATTGAATTGTGGACTAAAATGGCTGAGAACAATGTGCGTTTCATAACAAGTGTGAGCTGTAAGTTCATTAATGCCAGCTAATTTTTTTATAGAGTTGAACTTTTCTAACTTGCTCTGAGTAAGAGACTCATTGCCAATTCCCATTCTGACAAATTAGAGAGTGAATTGGAAACTGCTGAGGGTGGAGGAACATATTACTTATACATTCTCTGGTCACTAATTTTTACAAGTGTAGTTTAGCTTTAATTATTTAGGGTAATACTTGACAGCTCCATCCTACAACTCAGCATCCTTGTCAGAGTCATAGCTAATAAATTTTGTGCAGCTCCATGTGACATTTTATGTAATTATTTAATGAACTAATTTTTTATCTATACACTTTTATTTTACTGTCAATGTACCCGGTCCCAAGCAGTAGCAGGTAAGGACATGGAGATACACAAATTTTGGCAGCAGTGGCTGGAGTAGGCAGTAGGACATTTCTGGGCTTGCTGAGGTAGTTACATGGGACTGTTGGGTTAGATGACGTCTGGGTTTCTGGAAGGAAGTAGAGTATGGCTTTTGGCCAGGGATGTTGCCTGGGTTTTGATCGTGGTTGGCAGTGAAGCTGGGAGAACCACTGGGTCCCATGCACTTGCTTTTTATCACCATCACTGCCAGCAGCTAGTACTTCCCTACTCAGGGACAGAAAAGAGAAAGGAGGCAGAGCAGGCACCACAGCACCTCTTTGCAGTAGGAGCCACAAGCCTGCTCTGCAGCTCAGCTGAATATATCCTTGGGTTGCTTAATGCATAAGTGTCCTGTATGATGCATGAACTTGGCAGCCTTGGAGCGGTGAGTCGTAGAGATGAAGAGATAATAAATGTGAGGCATTGAGCTGAAGAAGAAGAAAGAATGAATGAGTAAGTGAAGGGGCAGACGGAGAAGTGAAGGGGGCTGAGTAATGGGCCAGATTGTGTTCGTAGCTTTTAAACTTGAGCTCAGGCAGCCCTTTGTTCCATGCCCACAAGTAAAATTAGAGGGGATGTGGATTGTCATCCAACACTTCCACCAGTCTAGATGACCTTTTTGTGGGTGGCTCTTCCACTGTGCATGGAGGAAGGGTTGCAAGTGTGTATATGCAAGCATGGAAGGTAGAAGCCTAAAGGTGGGGTCTCAGTCCATAAGACCTTGATCCCTGATATGAGGGATTGAGTAGGACCCCCAGCCCTTCAGCCACAAGCTTAGACCATTCTATTCTGCACCAACATTATATTCCTCTCCCTTTCTAAAAGACGTGGTCATTCTGAAGTGGACACTGCAGTGTGAACCATTCCATCCTCTAGCTATGTCAGAGAACCCTGATGACTGGGTCTGACCATAGGGGATTAGTACTTTACTTGTGCACAGCACTTCCTCCATCAGGCTATGTCTAGACTGCAGGCTTCTTTCGAAAGAGGCTCTTTCGAAAGCATCTTTCGAAAGAGCCTCTTTCAAAAAATCGCGTCTAGACTGCAGGCGGATCTTTCGAAAGAGAAATCCGCTTTTTCGAAAGAGAGCACCCAGCGAGTCTGGATGCTCTCTTTCGAAGACGGCCTCTTTATATTGAAGAACGCCTTCTTTCGAAAGAGGAACTTTCGAAAGAAGGCGTTCTTCCTCGTAAATTGAGGTTTACCGCCATCGAAAGAAAAGCCGCGTTCTTTCGAAATAATTTCGAAAGAACGCGGCTTGAGTCTGGACGCAGGGGAAGTTTTTTCGGGAAAAGGCTACTTTTCCCGAAAAAACCCCTGAGTCTGGACACGGCCCCAGTGAGGGCTTGCATATCATAGTTAATGTAGCAGAAGTATGCTACCTATTTGGTGCTCTTACACACTCCAGATTTGTAATGGTAAGAATAATTAAACATTGGAACAATTTACCAAGGATCATGGATTCTCCATCATTGATCATTTTAAAAATCAAGACTGGACTTTTTTCCAAAAGATATGCTCTAGGTATTATTTCAGGGATGTTTACCCTGGAAAGAGTAACACAGGCAGTCAGAGCAGATGATCATAATGGACTCTTTTGCCCTTAGAATCTATTAAAAACTAAGGAAGAAGTAAATTGCTATCAATGTTATTTTCCAGAAATCTATAATGTTACAGAAAAATAATTGAGGCAAATTCTGGAGCCTTTGCTCAAGTAAGGCACTTACTCAAAGTGAGTCATTACTCAGGCAAAACTGCCAACAAAGTAAGTAAGTCCTTCGGGACTGGAACCACTGCTGGATACTGTATAGACAAGAGTCTTGACAGCATTGGGTCATGATGATATTGATAGTTGTGATTTTTTTTCTTGTTAAACTTTGTTTAGTAGAATGGTGCAATATCTTAATTAATGCTATGTGTAGTGTCCCGTTAGAGAAGATGTGTAGTAGAAGGAATTTACAAAAATCAGAGTTTCTCTTATTTTGACTATGGTATCATTAAGCATATTAAAAATGTGTTACATTCATTCAGAGAATTTGTGTGGGTTTTGTTTTGTTTTCTGTATGTAGTGATCTTGAATCAAGGAATTTTACAAGCACTGTACAGCTTAGTTGGTAGGTACTAACATCACAACGGAAGCAGGCAGTTTTACTGTATCAACACATATTCCACACACATATTTCTGATCCAATTTTTATGTGTGATGTGTCTTTAAAAAAAAGTCAGAGAGAGGAAAATAAGTCAATGGATAATAAATCCATCTGCTTCAAGTTAGATTGAAACTATCATTTCTTGTGGACTTGCTAACTCTGGGCCTCAATCCTGCATAGCATTTAAATGTGCAGAACTTTCCTCACATAAGTGCTTTGCAGGATCAGGACTACTACCCAGCCCCGTATGTGAAGAATTAGTACTTTAACTACTTTATCTGCTTTTGAGTGTGTGCTTCAGTTCTTATGATTTGTTTTTAAACAATGCAGTACCTGAAAGTAGACTTAAAATGGACTTCCATGTTCATATTTAGCTATTATAGAATTAAAAGAGTTACATTCCATTCTCATTCTTACTTTTTTCTTTTAGAGCCATATTGGCTGGCGCAAAGAAGCAAAGCGATTACTTCTTGTGATGACAGACCAGACCTCTCATCTGGCCCTTGATAGTAAATTGGCTGGGATAGTAATTCCCAATGATGGAAATTGCCATCTGAAAGATAATGTGTACATCAAAGCAACAAGCATGGTAAGGTATATGTCATACGGTCTTACCTTTGGGAACCCAATGCATTGTCAAATTTAAATATCAAGATTTTAATTTGACATTAAATATTGCCAAATATTCAAGATGTATTGGTATTGGAAAAGGTTCAGAAAAGGGCAACAAAAACTATTAGGGGTTTGGAACAGGTCCTATATGAAGAGAGATTGAAGAGACTGGGACTTTCCATCTTAGAAAAGAGTAGACTAAGGGGGGATATGAAATGTCTATAAAATCATGACTGATGTGGAAAATGTGAATAAGGAAATGTATTTACTTGTTCTCATAATATAAGAGCTAGAGGTCACCAAATGAAATTAATATGTAGCAGGTTTCAAATAAACAAAAGGAAATTTTTCTTCACACAGTGCATACTCAACCCATAGAACTCCTTGCCAAAGGAAGTTGTGAAGTCCAGGAATTTAACAGAGTTTGAAATAGAACTAGACTAATTCATGGAGGTTAGATCCATCAATGGCTATTAGCCAGGATGGGTAGGGATGGTGTCCCTAGCCTCTGTTTGTCAGAGGCTGGAAATGGATGACAGGAGAGGGATCACATGATGATTTCTTGTTCTGTTCACTCCCTCTGGGGCATCTGGCATTGATCACTGTTGGAAGACAGGATACTGGGCTGGATGGACCTTTGATCTGACATAGTATGGCCGTTCTTATGTTCTTATTAAATTGACACTTCAAATTAAATTAGTAAAACATTAATATTTTCCTCAGTAAGGAGCATGTAGGACCCAAGAACAAGTGTGATGGAAATAAAATTATTGACATGCTTTCTATCTGATGTAAAATATTTCAGTAACTCTTTTGGCGGGGTCAGGCATGTTCTGAGCAGCACAATATAATAGGGTATTTTCAGCAAGTAAGTTACCATCTGATAGATCATCTGTATCTGTTGTACAGATTGTAAAAGGGAAGAAGGGGAATGATCATTCTGTTACATTACTCTGTATGAGAATATGCTAGGAATTTGCAGGAATCTTAAGAACATGAGAGTGGTCATACTGTTACAGACCAAAGGTCCATTAAGCCCAGTATCTTGTCTGCCAACATTGACCAATGCCAGATGCACCAGAGGGAATGAACAGAACAGGTGATCATCAAGTGATCCCTCTCCTGTCATCTATTTCCAACCTCTGACAAACAGAGTCTAGGGACACCATTCCTACCCATCCTGACTAATCACCATTGATAGACCTAACCTCCATGAACTTGTCTAGTTCTTTTTTGAACTCTGTTAGGGCATGTCTACACAGCAGGGCTTAACTCAAAATAAGCTACACAAATTGAACTACATCAATAGCGTAACATATTTCAAATTAGCTTATTTTGAAATTGGGAGTGTCTATACAGTACAGCTACGTCTACACTGGCACCCTTTTCCAGAAATGCTTAAAACGGAACAGTTTTCCATTATAAGTATTTCCGGAAAAAGCGCGTCTACATTGGCAGGATGCTTTTCCGGAAAAGCACTTTTTCCGGAAAAGCACTTTTTCCGGAAAAGCGTCCGTGGCCAATGTAGACGTGCTTTTCCGGCAAAAAGCCTCAATCGTCATTTTCGCAATCGGGGCTTTTTTGCGGAAAAGACTACTGTGCTGTCTACACTGGCCCTTTTCCGGATCGGTTTTTCCAGAAAAGGACTTTTGCCCGAACGGGAGCAGCATAGTTTTTCCAGGAAAAACACTGACAATTTTACAGTAGATCGTCATTGCTTTTCCGGAAAAGCAAGCGGCCAGTGTAGACAGCTGGCAAGTTATTCCGGAAAAGCAGCCACTTTTCCAGAATAAGTGGCCCAGTGTAGACACAGCCTACGTATTTCAAAATAGAACACTCTTCCTCCGACTTCCCTTGCTCCTTGTACTATGAGGGTTACAGGAGTCGGAGTAAGAAGTTCTCCAGCTCAACAGTATTTTTGACACTATTTTGAAATACCTGCCTGCTGTGTGGATGCAGACTAAGTTATTTTGAAATAATTATAGTTATTTCAAAATAAATGTTGCTGTGTAGACATACCATTGAAGTCCTGGTCTTCTCAACATCCTCTGGCAAGGAGTTCCACAAGTTGACTGTGTACTGCTTGAAGAAAAACTTTCTTTTGTTTGTTTTTAAACCTTCTACCTATTAATTTCGTTTGGTCACCCCTAGTTCTTAGGTTATGGGAACAAGTAAAGAACTTTTCCTTATTTATTTATACCCATCATGATTTTATAGACCTCTATCATATCCTCCCTTAGGGTACGTCTACAGTAGCCGCCTAGTTCGAACTAAGGAGGCTAATGAGGGCAACCAAAATTGCTAATGAAGCACAGGATTTAAATATCCCGTGCTTGATTAGCATATTCCCGGCCAGTTGCCATTTTTGGAAACTGACTAGCCCGAAGTAACTGCCTGAGTCTACATGCGGCAGAGAAGCGCAATTCTGAGATTAAACTCCTCAGTTCAAATTAACAGTTCAACCTCATGGATATTTAAATCCCGCGCTTCATTAGCAATTTCGGTCGCCCTCATTAGCCTCCCTAGTTCGAACTAGGGTGCTAGTGTAGACGTACCCTTAGTCTCCTCTTTTTCTAAACTGAAAAATCCCAGTGTTTTTCATCTCTCCTCATATGGCACCTGTTCCAAACCCCTAATCATTTTGTAGCCCTTTTCCAATGCTAATATATCTTTTTTTAGATGAGGCAACCACATCTGTATGCAGTATTCAAGATGTTAGCATGCCATGGATTTATATAGAGGCAATAAGATATTCTCTGTCTTATTCTCTATCCCTTTTTTAATTATTCCCAACATTCTGTTTGCTTTTTTCACTGCGACTGCACGTTGAGTCTATAGAGAGAACTATAAATAATGACTCCAAGATCTCTTGAGTGGTTGGTTATAGCTAAATTAGTCCTCATCATTTTATATGTATAGTTGGGATTTTTTTCCAATGTGCATTACTTTGCATTTATCAACATTAAATTTCATTTGCCATTTTGTTGCCCAATCACCTAGTTTTGTGAGATCCTTTTGAAGCTCTTTACAGTCTGCTTTGGTCTTAACTCTCTTGAGCAGTTTAGTATCATCTGCAAATTTTGCCACTTCACTGTTTATCCCTTTCTCCAGATCATTTAGAAATAATTTAAATAGGATTGGTCCCAGTATGGACTTTTGGGGGACACCACTAGTTAACTCTCTCCATTCTGAAAATTTACCATTTATTCCCACCCTTTGTTTTCTGTCTTATAACCAGTTATCAGTCCATGAGAGGACCTTTCCTTTTATCCCATGACAACTAACTTTAATTAATAGCCTCTGATGAAGAACCTTGTCAAAGGCTTTTTGAAAATCTAAGTACACTGTATCCACGAGATCCCCCTTGTCCACACACTTGTTGACCCCCTCAAAGAACTCTAGTAGATTATTAAGGCATGATTTCCCTTTATAGAATCCATCTTGACTTTTCCCCAACAAATTATGTTCACCTATGTGTTCACCTATGTTCACCTAATAGTTTCAACTAATTTGCCCGGTACTGATGTTAAACTAACTGGCCTGTAACTGCCAGGATCACCTCCACAGCCCCTTTTAAATATTGACACCATAATAGCTATCTTCCAGTAATTAGGTACAGAAGCTGATTTAAAGGATAGGTTACAAACCACAGTTAATAGTTCTGCAATTTCACATTTGAGTATTTTCAGAACTCTTGGGTGAATATCATCTGGTCCCGGTTACTTGTTACTATTAAGTTTGTCAGTTTGTTCCAAAACTTCCTCTAATGACACCTCAATCTGGGACAATTCCTAAGAATTGTCACCTGAAAATAATTGTTCAGGTTTGGGAATCTCCCTAACAGCCTCATGAAGACTGAAGCAAGCTGTTCATTTAGTTTCTTCACAACGACCTTACCATCTTTGAGTGCTCCTTTAGCATTTCCTTTTTCCAGTAGTCCCACTAGTTGTTTAGTAGACTTTCTGCTGCTGATATACTTAAAAAACCATTATGCTATTACTTTTTGAGTATTTCGCTAGCTGTTCTTCAAACTCTTTTTTGGCTTTCCTTATTATATTTTTACACTTAATTTGTCAGAGTTTATGCTCCTTTCTATTTTCCTCCCTAGGATTTAACTTCCACTCTTTAACTCCCGGCAGTGGGAGGGGAAAAGAGGGCGGTGACGTACATGGCTCTGCCCCGTGGCCGTATACATCACCGCCCTGCCCCTCTCCCTCGTGGCAGGCAGCACTCAGCCAAGCACCACGGCAGGAGGGAAGGGGAAGGGGAAGAGGGGCGGGGTTGAGACGGAGGGGAGAGAGAGGCAGGAGAAGGAGGAGAAGAGAAAGGGGGAGTGAGAGGCAGGAGGAGGAGGAGAGCTGAGAGAGAGGGGGGGATAGGCAGTAGGAGGAGAGAGAGAGAGAGAGACACGGAGTGAGAGCGCTCAGGAGAGAAGACCTGAAAATCCAGTCTTATGATGGGCTAATTGGCTAGTATATAATAGTAAGAAACTAATTCAACCTTGGCACACTTAAAGGAGTCCTGTGCCAGAGGGCTTTAAAGAATTAGCACATATTTAGATACATCTGAATTCAACATGCTTACTCTTTTATGTATTCATGCAAAAAATACATCAAATACAGGCAGTCCCCAGGTTACGTACAAGATAGGGACTGTAGGTTTGTTCTTAAGTTGAATCTGTATGTAAGTCGGAACTGGCGTCCAGATTCAGACACTGCTGAAACTGACCACCAGTTCTGACTTACATACAGAATCAACTTAAGAACCCCAGGCGTCCCCAAGTCAGCTGCTGCTGAAACTGATCAGCAGCTGATTCCAGGAAGCCCGGGGCAGAGCAACTCTGCCTCGGGCTTCCTGTAGTCAGCGCTGGTCAGTTTCAGCAGAAGCTGACTTGGG